GGATTTTTTATCCCACCTATCTTATCTAGATAGACCTGCAGAGGTAATAATATGCACAAAAAACAAGACAGAGCAAAACTAAGCAACAAAAGAAAATAAAACAATGACAAAAAAAAGCGCCTGTAAATAGTTCAAGATCTGTTTGTTGACCTTTAGGAGTGTTTTCCGGTTGAGTCTGATGGAGTACCACATACTGGCCCCAAAATCTACTTTTGGTATTCCCTGGGGACTTTGTTGCCCTGTTCCCCTGGATATTCTGTTACACACCCTTAGTGTTTTGTCTCAATGTGGTCTTTTTTTTTTAAATACTTTTACTGGGGGGCTCTTACAGTTCTTATCACAATCCATACATTCATCCATTTGTACATATGTTGCCATCATCATTTTCAAAGCATTTTCTTTCTACTTGAGCCCTTGATATCAGTTCCTCATTTTTGTACAGCTTCTTTTACAATCATTTGTTCATCAACAAAATACTTAGTGAGTAGTACCTATATGGCATGAACTTTTCCAGTGTTGGAAACACAGACAAGAACCTGGCATAAAACATCTGATCTCGGTGAGGCTGTTACATTTTTTGTATTTATTTCCTTCTCTCCAAACCCAAACCAGTTGATAAGGTTATGAAGGGTATCTGAGTTATCTTTGTAACTCCTGAGATACCACCTGTGTTATCAGTGCTCAGTGCATGCCAATTAAATTGCCACATTTCTTCACCAATAATATGTCAATAAAAGTAATGCCCCAACACATATGTTGGTGGTGTTTGTGGTGTTGTTGTTAGGTACTGTTGAGTCACTTCCAACTTACAGCAGCCCTGCGTAGAGCAGCACTACCTGTTCCTGCGCCGTCCTCACCATTGTTCCACCATGTCAATCCATCTTGTTGAGGGCCTTCCTCTTTTTGGCTACCTCTCTACTTTACCAGCACATGAAATGCACAGAAACTAAGGAATTAAGTGAAACGGTTCTGGCACAGTGCATGTGTAAGTTAGATGTAGGCTTCTCAGTTCATTGACATTTGTCTCCTTCATGTTCTCTCTCTCCATTGCACAAGGCTCTCCTTGTCTCATCAAGCTATTACAAAGAAAATGAATGGAATTACCAGAGGACTCTGGATGCAGTACACAAGGAAATTTCTCAGGGAGCGTTCAAGATACCAATGGCTGCAGCCCAGATCCTGCCTGCCCTGATGGGAAAGACCTATTTGGATGTGAACAAAGATTCTCCCTGTCCAGGTACAAGTAGTAAAGAGCAAATTATTTTGACTTTTGGCCATTATAACACTCAACATGGACCTCGGAAGCCAACAGTTATCAGATAAAGCTCTCAACAGTTTCCAGATAGAACTCAGTCCTCAATCTGTCATCAGTTAATGCAGCAACGTGATGATGGTCTGTGCTTACTGGCACAGTACATGTGATTCTTGGTTCAAATACTGATCAACTAGGTTGGCTTCATTCAATGGCATCTGTCTCGAAGGGGATGCTTTCTGGTTGCCTGGTTCAGCGAGATGTTCTGATCATCCTTATTTTTAAACATATAGAGGATCTGTATTTTGTCTCTGGCTTCCCAGCATCTTCAGTGAGTGAGCCCTCTAAGAAAAAAGACATCCATGTGGAAGGAATGGAAGAGTTGCAGAGCGGACTCAGAAAATTGTAGGGCGGGCTGTCTCCTGAAGGAACGAGTTTTGCAAAAAGGCACCTAGAGCAGATGCCTTTCCTTCGGTTTTTGTTCACTAGAAAAGATTTAACCTCAAAGCTTTAGTTTTCTAATAATTAAAATATTAAACAGGAACGATAATGGACTCTAACAAGTTTTCAGAGGTTTAAATGAAATAATCCATGCACAATTATTAGTATATTTCCTGGCATGTAATATGCTTTTGGTAAATGTTTAAAAAAAAGTTTTTTTAAGTAGCAAGCATTATTATATGCTACCCAAAAAGAGAAAGACTCAGGAGCCTCTATGAAATGGAAGTGGGAACAACTACATTGCTTAAACAGCTTGGAGTTGACCTGAACCCCAGCATTTCACAAGCCTGTGAGTGTCTGGTTGTGCCTCTTACTTTAGACACATAACAATCTGGCCCTCCACTGGTAACACATGCTCCGTGTGCCAAGTCTTTGCACAAAGGAGAGGCGTACAGGGTAGGGTTTGATGGATAAGCACGCTCTGTCATATGTATTCTTCTGAATAAAGCTCTCTGTCTGCCTTCCAGTTCTCAATGTCTCCATTCCTGAGTCTGGACCGGTGAGCCCTCCCCCTCCTTCCTCACTTATCACTGTCCACTACTCTGTAAAAGTCAACAAGACGGATTCCACCACCGTCACTGTGCGGAATGGGTCTGTCTTCCTGGATGTGATGGAGAAAGCGCAGGAGCACAACAAGACGATATTTGGGTATGTCTGTACATGATGTGCAATGTTTCCTGTGAATGTCTAAAATCCAAGCAAGAACGTATCCATGAGCATTAGCTGGGCATTTAAAGTGCCCACGTGAGTAGGTACATTTATTTATTATTTAAAAGTGCATTTAAAGCACATACTCATTGGTACATTTAGTATTCATCTACATCTCGTGGCATTTTTACGAGATGAGAACTGTCGTCTCTACCATATATCATTTGCCATCGGGTCAATTCTGACTCCCAGTGACCCCAGGGGTTACAGAGCAGAATTGCTCCAAGGGTTTCCTCAGTTACAATCGAAGCCCGAAGCAGCTGTCAAGTCTTTCTTCTGCAAACCTGCTGGGTGAGATAGCAACTCGATGCTTAACCCATTGCATCACCAGGGCTCCTTTTCTAGTATATTCAACCCAAAAAACAAACCCACTGCCATCAAGACACCAACCCATAGTGACCCTATTTAATGTTTCCAAGAGCAGAAAGCCTCATCTTTCA